GTGTGCTCTCCCACACCCACCTCCTGGTTGCCTGACTCCTTCACAGCTGATGTCCCCCATTGCCTCCAGCTGGGGCGGCCGGCCAAATCTGGCACAGGTGCAGCTGAGCCATCCTTAACCCTCTTAAAGGGCCAGCTCACCCTGTGAGAGCCTGCAATGAAGTCCTTAGCCTGGGTTTATGACATCATGCTGCACAGTTACGGAAGTGATTGTAACGTCACCAATGTGGAATTAGGACTCCACCGAGAACCAATTCCCGCTCCTCACCTCTCTCACGCGGAGCCCCGTTGGCCATAATGGAATTGCTCACGCCAGTAAGGCGAGCAGGACTCCCCCTTGACAGAATGAAAGCCCCTTCAATTGATCCTGGACCCGATCCTGCAATTGGATCTGCCTGGGTGGAGCCTCTCCCCGTGTGGAGTGCTAGTGACCTCAATAGGACCCCATACCAGAGCCAGAGTGTCCCTGCCTGTATCTTTTACAACGGGGTGGCCAACCTGAGCCTGAGAAGGAGCCAGAATTTACCAATGTACATTGCCAAAGAGCCACGGTAATAGGTCAGCAGCCCCACATCAGCTCCCGCTCCCTGCTCCCAGCGCCTCCCACACATCGGCAACCCTGCCAATCAGCACCTCCCTCTCCCTCCCCATCAGCTGTTTCGTGGCGTGCAGGAGGCTCTGTTGGGGGAGGAGCGAGGGCACCGCAGGCTCAGGGGAGGGGGTGGGAAGGGGTGAAGTGGGGGCAGGGCCTGTGGCAGAGCCAGGGGTTCAGCAGTGAGCACACCCTCCCCCCCCAGGCACATTGGAAAGTTGGTGCCTGGAGCTCCAGCCCCGGAGTTGGTGCCTATACAAGGAGCCGCATATTAACTTCTGACGCACCGCATGTGGCTCCGCAGCCACAGGTTGGCCACCCCTGGTTTACGAGATTAGGGCTCTGATGGCAAAACACTCAAGCCCAGATCCACAAAGATATTCAGGCACCTAAACCCCAGACTGAGGCTCAACTGTGATCCACAAAACTCCTTGTGGTTGCCGTCTAATCCTGTAGGTGTCTAAACTCACTTGGTGCCTAATTTGTCAGGGTAGACGTTCCCTAGGTACCTAAGTTTCTGCCTCTGGACATGCACACTTCAGAGACATCAACGGTGCAGGATCAGGCCCTTACGATCCACTCCCAAGGCCCTTACTAGGTTGGAATTAGGCCGTACCAAGGCAAATGGCCATTGGTAACATCGCAGTGTTAGTTAACGGTCGCACACACCACTTTACATTTTCACAGTGCTGCACAAGTGCCACGTTCCTTTCCCCTCCATCTCTCTCCAGCCTCACTTCTGTAGCATGTAGCGGCCAGGCTCATAACGGAGCCATTTCCATCCCAGCAGAATCCAAGATCCTCAGGTAGGCCTAAGCCTGGAACACACATTTTGGATATTTCTGCTAAAATGATCCGTGGTGAAATAGTGAACTATGTTGGCATTGGATATGTCATCTTTAGGCTTCAGAGTTAACACCCCATTGTATCTCCAAACTCTTGTTTAAGGCTGGCTGCAGACTCAGGAAGATGCTGCAGTGGTTTACATTTGGAAGATTAATTTCTTTTAATGAGAGCTGAGATTCTAAAGAATCTGAATACTTTCCACAGACAGGCCCCATAAATACATTAAAACAGGCCAGATCCAACCCACAAACTAGGTGTTTGACATCCCTGCTCTGAGTAGCCAGTTTCTCCAGAACTTCTTCAGCATTTTAAAGGCACAAAACATGTAATCTGGCTGTTGGGTTCATTTCTCCTGTTCAGCTATGTCACCTCCAAACACCTCCAGCCAGAGGCTGCCAGCAGGTCAAGAGGTTGGAAAGAGACACTGGGCTTTAATTTGACAATGACAACATAGAGGCATACAAAAATCCTGTGCCGTTACATTGGGGTTTCTATCTACAGCATCCAGGTATCTTTTGTAATGAAATGCAGTCCACTGCAAGAGCAATCTAAGCTCATTTTCTTTTCCTTCACGCATCATAATCCTGACACCAAGCATGTCACTTCCCCTTAGCGTGAGAGAATGAAGTGTTCATTGCTTTAGTCCACCACCCAAAGAGATGGAGCTATAAATAGCATGCTTACCAGTTTATTTCATTGGGGTCATTTAAAGAGCCCAGAGCACGGATTGTAAGGGTGGGCTATTGGGGCAGAATCTGAGATTATTTTAATTCCCTTTGTTCTTTCATTAGTCTTCTCCGCTCCCTTTTCTAAGCTGTTCCATAGCGTCACTATGAAGTGTTAAAGAGCTGCTGCCTTCCACCCCAGAGATGGTTGCATGTCAGTGCTAAGTGAAGGAACCCCTATCTGCCACTTATCGAGCTCAGGGGGACTTTCTGAGGATTCAGTAATTCTTGTATGTCACACTGGCTGCAGTGCCTTCCAGAATTCAAGGGAACCCAGGGGAATGTCTGAGTATGGAGCTTGCTAAAGGATAGTCACAGGTGCAGCTTGGTGCATTTTCAGCTGGCACTGAATCCTAACTGGTACAAAGAATGATCCCGAGAAACACCAGTTCGGGCAATGCACGGCACAGCTCCGTTCCTGTGTTGGGGCAGAAGGGTCCTAATGAATTTTCTTAGTGCCATGGGCCCCCTCTAGTGCTCCACTACCTGGACTGCAGCTAACCCTTTCCAAAGTTAAATTGTAACTGAGCAGGACGGGGCCTGACTTTTAAAGGTACTTAGGCACCCTACTCCCAGGGGGAGCCTAAATACCTTGAAATATCTGGTGCCTAAGTTTTGAGTTTAGCTGTATACGTTCCAGTTTGGGCTACCCTGAGCTCTCCAAAACTCCCACGTAGGCAACTAAACTCACTTGGCACCTACGTTTTCAAGGAAAAAGCTCACTCGGTGCCTAAGTTTCTGTCTCGGGGCTTACTGCTGCGTACTTGGAGACCTGTCTCCCAGCTAAGCCCCAGAGCGATGCATGACCCAGAGAAGTTGGTGTTTCTTCCACTGAACTTGCCCGCGGAAGGCATGCTCGGAGGCCCCCCGAAGGGATTGGTCCCACTCAAAATCTGACTGTTGGAGAAGGGGTGCCACCCAACTTTCAGCCCAGTAGTTAGAGCACTCACCGGGGAGGTGGGAGAGGCAGGTTAAATTCCCCCCTTCAAGCAGAGGGGGAGAAAGAATTTGAACAAGGGTGTCTCACCTCTCGGATGAGGGCTCTAACCACTGAGCTCTGGGGCATTCTGATAGGGGCTTCCTCACGCTCTCCTGTTAAATAGTCATTGGGCCAGAGAGACAAGAAAAATAGAATGACTCTGTAACCCCCAGTGATCAGTGCACCCATTGGGGTGGTGGGAGACCCAGGGGCCAGTCCCCTGCTCCAATCATCAGTTATCCCACAGGGGAACAGTTTCAACAGGAGAAACTGAGGGAGGGCTTCCCACCCCCCATCAGCATATACCACAGCTCAGTGGTTAGAACACCCAACTGAGACACGGGAGACCCGTTTGAATCCTTTCACCCTTTTGGAAGAGGGGGAACTGAACCGGGCTCTCCTATACCCCAGGTCAGTGCTCCAACTACAGGGCTAAAAAATATAAGCTAGGTGGTAACAGCAGCCCCTCCCCGTCTTTTGTGCAGAGCGAGGAAGGCAGCAAATTCATTCATTCATTCAGAAACGACTTCGGCACCTAAACCACCTGACTCCAGAGGCTGGGTTCCTGTTCATGGATCATAGCGTTGGGCACCTCTCTCCCCGACAGGAGTGGAACTTAGCACACACCTCTCTTGTCTGCATCGGCCCATGGCTAGCTGCCAGGGCTCCCGGCTTAGCATGCTGGCTTTTGTGGATTGCATTCTAAGGTGCCTCTCTCTCCCCTCATTGCAGAGGGAGCCTAAGTGCCTAACTCGGCTTCCTGGATCACAGCACGGTGCTATGATTTTCCAGGCACTTAACCATCAGCTGCCAGGACGCTCAGCATTGCAATGCCTGAGACCCTACAGGGAGCTGGGGCCTGGGCACCTAGGCAGCTACCACTCATTGATTTCCCATTGCACTGAAAGGAGTTAGGTAGAGGGTCTGGCATCATGAGAGTTCAGAGGGTGTTTGAGGGAAAAGGGGAAATGGCATCAGGTCAGACTCAGCAGAGCTGGGACAGACCTATTAGGTCATTAGTCCATCCCCACCTACCAAGTCCAGGCTGATGCTCTACAGGATACGTCATTGGAATGAAGAACACGCTCAAATAAAAAATAAATATTGCAAGGGAGGGAGGGGGGGAATTTCTTACCTGTCTTACTACTACTGACGACTATTAAAAGGGGCAGATGGGGAAAAGAGAGAAGAATGTTAATTTTTCATCTTTAGTGCTGTTTGTTGACCCTCTTCGGTTCTGGTAGCTGGCACACAAACTAGTTTCCTTGCCCTGCTCTCCTGCCCGAGGCCATAATGGCTCATGCTGGGTGGCAGGGAAACACCTCCCCCCTGCTCTTCACTCAGTTTTCTTCAGTTAAGCAACCAGCTTTGTACGTCACTCATTTCTGCAGTTCTCTTTTGGCTGGAACATACCAGAACCCTTGACCATGTCTCAAGGGCCCGGTTCGGGGAAGCAGTGGAATTTCTGCTTATCGATGAGGGGGATTTGTATAGTGGGATTAGTGCACAATTTAGGGTTATCTGAACAGCTTAAGGTCAGGGGGGCTTCCTGCTGTGCTGACAGAGGTCAGGCACAGATTAAACTCCCATCAGGCAATCTTTGGAATAAGGGAAAAGTTTGTGGGATCCTGGCACAGACAGCGTGGCCTGAAATGTAGGATGGTCTCATGGGAAATATCATTGGTGGAACTGTTGGTCCTTAGATCATGGCTGTAATATCTCCCATAGGGCCTTGGAGCATTGGTTCCCAGAATCTCCTTATGCTCACATCTCCCAAGGCACTCTCAAGGGAGAAGGAACCCCAAGGACAGAATAATACACACAGCCAATGAGAGAGGCAGGCTACACACGCAAAAAAATAAAGTAAAAAACAAAACCAAATCTTTAATTCACCACTCGTAGGAGCATTAGGGTAGTCAGGGCTCAGGTGTTTTTACCACCACCCCACTATCCCTAACCCTCCATTCATAAGTGAGAAATTTCCCTCCTAAAACACACACAGTTCTTCTGGAATACAGAGATCACTCAGTTAAGACATAGAGCTCGTCTGCCTGCAGATTCAGGGCAATGACAGGAAAGCAAGATTTCAGTCCTCATTGTTCCTCTTAACAGTTGGAGTTGTAAGGGCCCAGCACAGATGATATTGCTAATTCCACCCCAATCCATGTTGGGATGAGCCTGAGAGGGAAAACTTTGGAATTAATGAACAACCTCCCGGAAACCAGGATGAAGATTGCTGTCAGATCACATGCAATTTTTGTGAGGAAATGGACATTGAAAGAACGTTCCTCTTCTACCATTCACCGTATGGGTGTAGGTGGTGGTAGAGAAGGGGGATAACCTGGGGAATGGTAGGTACAACCACAACTTTTCCTTTTGGAAAACCATCAAGGAGAAAAGGTGTTAAATGGTTTGGATCTTTCAGAATTAAGCTGGCTCTAAAATGTTCAAGTTGAAGGGAAACCCTGAAGTTTTAAAGGCAGAGAGGTCTCAGAAACTGTTCTGACAATAAAATGGGGCATTTTAAATTTCTTCCAGGAATAAAAGCGCTGCACAGCCTGGAAAGAAATTCCCCAAAGAATTGAACTTGGGAACACCCAAACCTTTCCACCACTGCCTTCATACAGAACAACATATATGACCACATCCCACAGTCTTTCAGGGCGGGCAGGCGCTGAACAATTGCTCCCCTAGGAACTCCTTTGAGCCAGAAGAAGTCAGGACGTGATTTTATTTCTTGGTAGATTAAGCGGGTCTCCAATTTTTTCAAGCAACGCCAGCAGTTCACCTGGCTAGGTCCTGGGCACGAGGACTGAGGTTTGGAGCAACCCAAGCTCTGCTAAAAGGAGAGCTAGCCAGCAGCAGCATCGAGATCAAGCAGAGAGACTCGCTGAGAATGCCAGTCAACCACCTAAAGGAATGGTGGCTGGAGCCACTGCCTAATGGAAGGACAAAAGGGAAAGAGTGGGAGCTTTCAATGGGGAGAGCTCAGTGGTTTGCGCATTGGCCTGCTACACCCAGGGTTGTGAGTTCAATCCTTGAGAGGGCCATTTAGGGATCTGGGGCAAACATCTGTCTGGGGATTGGTCCTGCTTTGAGCAAGGGGTTGGACTAGATGACCTCCTGAGGTCCCTTCCAACCCTGATATTCTATGATCCTTAGTGGAACATTTGGTGGGGAGAAGGGGGGCACCAGCGTTAGCACCGTCCTCTCTCTGAGTTTGTCTTCAGCCCGTCTCTTTCCTTTTCAGTTGCATCTCTTCTCTCAGTTGGTCACTTCAGGCCAGCTGATGACACTTCACACTTTAACCTATTGGTCTGCAGGAGGAAGATCAAGTCAGGTCATACTAAGCAGTTTCCCTCTGCAGGTGGCCTCTGGTGCAGGCAGCCCAGGGCTGGGAAGGGAGTATCCACCAAAAATGCTATGGAGGAGACCACTGCTTACAGTTTCACACACTACATGCACTGATTGTATCAGCATGGGCTGTATCTACGATCAGGCTACACGAGTGAATTCAGAATAATTCTGCTCAGGAAATACAGTACAGGGACTTTCAGACTGTCTGTCTGAAATCTCCATGCAAACCTAGAAGAGCACTGGACGCTTTAGCGTGCGCACACAAAGTGGCAGAAGCCCCGGCTAATATAAATATAAGGTTGGTTTTGCTTTTGTTTTGGTTTTTTTACTATAAATGTCATAGTAACTCAGAAGGGGATCAGGCTAAAGGGAATGTCTCTCTTGGAACAGAATGCTGTGAAGCACGTTAGGAATGGCGGCCAAGCAGACTGAACTCAGGAATTCTTGGAGTCTTGGATCTTCTGGATTTCCTGCAAGCAGATGAAGAAAACGATTGATCGTGTATTGCTCTCTGTAAATAATTTATAGCTTCATAGATTGTAAGGCCACAAAGAATCATTATGATCATCTAGTCTGACCTCTGGCATAGAATAGGCCATAGAATTTCATCAAGTGACCCTTGCATCAAGCCCGTATTTTATGGCCGAAATGGACTACACCTTTTAGAAATACATCCAGTCTGGATTTAGAGAGAGACTTCACATGATCGAACTCATCTCTTGGTAAATTGTTCTAATGGTTCTCTCACTATCAGGGTTAAAAACGCGTGCTTTGCTCCCTATCTGAATAGGTCTAGCTTCAGCCTCCAGCCATCAGATCTCATTCCGCCTTTGTCTGCTAGGTTAAAACATCTTCTCCCATGTACTTATAGACCATGATCAAATCACCTCTTCACATCCTCTTCGTTAAAATAAATAGATTAACAGTCTTAAATCTCTCACTGTAAAGTAGATTTTTCTGACCTTTGTAGCCTATAGGACTAACCTGCTTGCTTGCGTGTGTGTGCGTATATACACACATATATACACACACACAAACTATAAGAAAAGATGTGGGTGTGTAAGTATTTGATGTATTGTAATAGGTTTATAGATTTATATTAACTTAAACTTAAATAAAAACCTAATAAACAAACTAAGAATAAAACGTAGGGAAACCAAGCTTAGCCTAATTGCCTTGACACTTAACGTTTAAGAAAATCAAGGAAGCGGGGCTAAAGTGCAATCCGGCCAAGGCACAGCTAATGGCCAATCGTGTCTCTTTCTTGGGCCTCACCCTGACAAAATGGGGTAGAACCCCAACACAACAAAAAGTAGATGCAATCCAAACATTGCCTTTACCACAGGACCCTTTAAAATCCTTTTGGGGTTTAACTGGGTACCACAGGGATTTCATTTTCAATTTTGCTTCCATTGCAGGTCCCTTGTACCAGCTCTTAAAAAAAAAAAAAAAGGTGTCCAATGGAAATGGACTGAGCAACACACGAAAGCAATATCGCAGCAAAAACAGGCCATTGTCAAGGCTCCGGTGTTGGTCACTCCAAATCCTAAAATACCCAATCATCTGAAGGTAGTCTGCTGTAACACCTCACCCCAACCAAAACAGTTGTTTTCTTTCAAAAAATTGTATAATGGCACAATCCTTGTATGTCTCATTCACAGTCTTGTTACCAGTGTTTAACCCAAACAAGGATGTGTACAGGCAATTAGTTGCTGTCCATTCTATAGGTCACCTCAAAAACATCATCTATAGGAAATGCATTAATGCACCTCCCCTGGTGGTCTATCACACTCCAACTCCAACTCAAAAAGTGCCACAGATGTTGCTCTAAAAAGAGCCTCAGTACATCTGTAGGTGTAACGTGTTTGAAACAAACACTGTTCTGTGTAAACTACAGGGAGAGAGAGTATGGAATTCATCATCGTCATGCCTAATAAGGCTGACCACGTATAAAACTCCAATAAAAAGGGTAACCTATGCTGAAAATAACCAATTTTGCATGGTTACCAACCAAAAGAGGTACCAATATGGTCCCTTGGAGTGTCCTGTCACAAAACCAAATTTTTGTTTATTCCATAAAAAATTAAGTTATTTCACCTATTCCTACTTTTAAAAACATTACTATTATTCAGTCTAACCCAACCTATCATCTTTATAAAAATGGTGTTAAAACTGTTCCCATAAATACTTAACCACCTACATCCTACCTGTGCGACGGGATTCATTTGGTGCAAACCACCCCGTCAAAGAGGGGTCTGTAGCCCTGCTTGCTTGCGTGCGTGCATATATATCTTTTCTTATAGTTTAAGTATTTGATGTATTGTAATAGGTTTAGATTTATATTAAAGTAAGTTTGGCTGTAATGCAAGAGACCTACAGGCCATATCCTGTATGTTAAGCTAAGGCAAAGTGAGCAGACCCATATTAAGACCTTTTACTCAAAAAGCAAAGTTGACCTAGAGCTTGTTACCTAAATAGAGGAGTCCCCACGCCTATGTCCATGACCTTTTATCTAGACCAACAAACAATAAAAAATGGCATAGGGGTTTTTCCCCACAGATTTAGCAAGTACACCACAAAAGACTGATGTGTGTACATACCTGTCATCAATACGCACAGACATACTAGCCTATGGGGTAAGTGTACCCTAACATTTCTGTGGGTAAGGAATAAAATTTGGGCATAAAAGGAAGAAGGTCCGGCATCTACCCTATAAAAAAGGTAACCTACCTCAATAAAGTATCTCCGTTCTTACTTTACTCCATCTCCATTCTCACTTTACTCCATTTTTATTTACTTTCTTTACTCTATCTACGATAACTGCTACTATTTGTAGGCTATTGTTGTTTTTCTTAAACTTTAAGTTTCAAGGGAACTAGGCTAAGCTTGGTTTCCCTAAGTTTTATTCTTAGTTTGTTTATTAGGTTTTTATTTAAGTTTGTCAAGTAAACCCTAGTCAGCTTTAATAGCGCTTAGCATTTTTTAAGCACTGCATCCCTCACACAAAAATTAAAAAACCTAAACCGCAAGGCTGTTCCTGTGTCTCTTACCACCAGGTTATCAAAAAAGGGTGTGAGTATGTTAACCAAAGCTTTGTTGCATGTAATACTATATCATCATATGTATCTTTTAAATAGCAGTAATGCAATTGTAACTTTGTAACTCTGGGTATTTTATCATTTACTTACTATTATTAATTTCAATAAAAAGTCTTTAAAACTATATCTGTCTCAGTGTAAGCTTCTTGTCATACCCCCGAGGGTTCTTTATAAATTCTGTGAAGCCTAATTCAGAACAAAAACTTTTATCTTCTAATCAAACATATTGGCAAGCCTAAACCCCATACTAATTAATATTATTAATAATTATTAATATTATTTAAATAAAATAAAATAAATAAATTACATTCCCATATTATCCAAATTAATATTATCAGTACACCCTATATCAGGCTACACCTTGCATCATTCTTGTAGCTCTATTCTGAACCCTTTCGAATTCTTCACCATCCTCTTTGAATTGTGGACCACAGAACTGAATACAAAACTCCACAAGAGTCTCACTTAATGCCAGATATAGAGGTAACCCCACTGCCCTGCTCCTACTTGAAACACTTCTGCTTATACATTCAAGGATCCCATTAGCCCTCTTAGCCACCACATCACACTAGGAGCTTGTGTTGAGTTGGTTATCCACCAGGACCCCTATGTCCTTTTCAGAGGCCCTGCTGTCCAAGATACAGTTCTCCTACCCTAACTGCCAAGCTTAAAGTTCTGCTCTTTGTTACAACACCCATGTTCAATCTTCAGAAGGAACTGCTTGGACAGCAGTGACCTTTAGGGCTCCCGAAGCCAACAACTGGGTCCTGGCTTTGGGTGCATGAAGGTCAGTGCATTTACTGATTATGTTCTGACCAATGTCACTCTGCTGGGCCCAGTCCAACACTACAGAAGACACGGCCCCTGCCCTGGGTAAACTTTTGCAAATACTGGTCCTGGACCAGGAAAAAAAATCTGCATACTAGACTTCCCTCTTTAAGTTTGGTATGTGCTTGGACATCTTACTGAGTCAGGGCTATAACCCTTCTCTCGGAAACGGAATGTTTGTCAAGCATTTCCTTCTGATGCTCTCTAACAGTTGACTCTCCATTTACAATGGCTTCGACCGTACCCCCTGGCAGAAGAGCCCTAAATGACTTACCTCTGCAAGAATCTCCTTCAGTTCAGAATAGGCTTTTTGTAGATCATTATTGACGATGATCAGGTCAAAAAGGCCAGGTTCATTACCTAGTGAATCAAAACAGGAGTTAGAACACAGAAAAGGACCGTTCGCTCCTTCGCCTTCTTTTTTGGGACTCTAATTCTTGTGGACTCTTAACAGTCTTATTTTATTTCAGCCACTGCTAATAATCTCCTCTGTCAAGCCTCCTTGTGAAGTAATTTTATAGGAGAGCATGCTGCATTCTACTTAGATCAAGTCTAGTTTTAAGATTGCATCAGGCTAAGAGCTGAAAACGACAAAGGATTCTCCCAGGTAAGAGGAGTGGATGTGGAAGATGGGATAGAACAAGGAAAGCGTCAGCAATTTAAAGGCGGAAGTATAGTTTGATGAGGCAACTCTAAGATTTTCCCTTTAAACAACTCTATGCAACTAAAGGGAAAGAGGTCCAGTGGGTAGAACACTAGCCTATGACTTGGGAGACCTGCGTTCAAGTCCCACTTCCGCCACAGACTACCTGTGTGAATTTATTTACCTAGGAGCCTTAGTCATGGACTGGGACCCCCATCGTGCTAGGTGCTGTACGAACAGAACAAAAACGAACAAAAAAACCAGACTGTCAACTTGGGCAAGTCATTCACCTCTCTATGCCTCAGTTCTCCCATCTGTCACATGGGGATAGCATCTCTTCCCTACCTCACAGGGGTGTTGTGAGGATAAATACATTAAAGATTGTGAGGCACTCGGATACTACCCTGAGGGGGGCCACGTAAGGACCTAAGATAGAAATAAGGGAAGCTGTTAAAAAATGAAATTCACTTTACTTCATAATAAATTAAAATCTTGACACTTAACCTAGTGCTCCCAGCCACCCTGGAGTGCGTTAATAGCTGTCAAAGTATTTTTATGGTGTGGTTGGTACTAAAAAAAACCAAAAAAAGCCCCAAAAACAAACAAAAAAACCCAACAAGCTCCATTCACTCTACATCAGTGGTCCCCAACCTTTTTCGTCTGGCGGGCGCCAGAGGACGAGCCACCGCGGACCATGGTGGCGGACAAGCATCCGCCAAAATGCTGTCGAGAAGTGGCAACGTCAATAGGCGTCACTGCCAAAATGCCGCCAACAAGCAGCGCCATCCAGAGGCGCCGCTGAAAATCAGCGGCATTTTGGCGGCGACGCCTCTGGACGACGCTGCTTGTCGGCGGCATTTCAGCAGATGCTTGTCCGCCGGCCAGTACGCAGACGCACTTAGATGCCCCAGTGGGCGCCATGGCTCCCACGGGCACCGTGTTGGGGACCACTGCTCTACACAAACCCTGAAGCACTAAGAACAGTGTAACACTGAACAGTACATCAGTGGCCCTAGTACCTCCTAACAGCTTTGAGACTGAACTGCCCCATTCCCCTCATGCCTGGGAGTGGGGGAAGGGAGGATGTAAGTGGAAGCCAGGGATGGGAAGAACTGGTCTGGAGGAGTGAGGGGAGGTGGGAAGGGGCTAGGAGGTCCTTCCCACTTGTCAGGGGGAGGTGATCTTTCCCATGGTGCTGTGCCAAGGGGTGAGGGAAGGGAGTCAGGGCTCCTGATCTTTCAGAAGGAGGGGGAAGGGACCGGAGAGGAGGATTTTCACAGTTAGTGCCTAAGGTTTTACGCAGACAATGGAAGGCTGAGGTGTTCTCTCTCACAAACACACCCGGTGCCTGTGAGGTCTTTACAGCTGCGATTTCCATGCTAGTTTAAGCGGTGACATGGCCCCGCCCCTCTTTGGCAATCCAGGACAGTGAATCCCCTCTTCCCCCTGCAATTAGCTCCCAGCTGCCAAATAGTCGTAGTCAGTTCATCTGGCCGGACCTGCCATAAACCCCCGAGACAGGGTGCTAGACATCTGTGTATGACAAGGCACCAAAAACTCTGATGTGCTCTCCTCCCACCCGCCCCCGGCCCCCAGTCCCCACTGGGGTTGTGTCTCTGTGAGCTTCCTGTACTTACTAAGTTCCATGTCTACACGAGCGGTGTTCAGCCGCTTCTGTAGACTCTCTTCGGACTCCGTCCGTCTGTCGCGCAGTCTCTTTTCCTATAGCCCAAAGACGACAAGCGTAAATGCACGTTCCAAGCACCGTTTGGAGAACAGTCAGCCCTGGCCCCCAAGTCCCATTACTGCCATCACAACTACCCTCAAAGGGCTCCAAGTCACAGTCATCATGTTTGTGGCCAGAAACGACCATCAAATTGTCTAGCCTGACCTCCTGTATATCAAGGCCACCAACGCCACCCAGCGCCCACACACTAAACCCAACAACTGGAATGAGACCAAAGTGTTACAGCCCACAGGAGACTAGACTGTCATGTGCCACAGGCAGAGAACAGGAAGTCATTTCAAACACCCTCTCCCCTGGCGCATGGCTGTTTCTGGAGCTAGGTGACACTGCGCTGCCCATTGGCCAGAAGGAATAGATCAAGAGGCCGGCTGTGGCCCTGATCAATAAAGCCGCACGCATACCATGGGATGTAAGGAAGTATATCCTCACTAACGCCAACAGTTAACTGACTTGCCCCAGGCCACAATGCAAGTCTCTGTCCAAACTGGGATTTGACCTCAGGAATTCCCGGCTTCCAGCCCTGTGCTCAGGCCACTGGACTGTGCTGCTTCTTGCAATGCAGCTGCCAACTGAACAGCCCTGGAGGTATAAATGGCAGCTGTTAGGCGACACTTTGGAGCTGGTTTTGCGGCAGCAGCTCACGGCCTGGCCTTGCTTCTTCTTAAGGAGAAACACCCCTCACATAATGGACTTAGGGTAAAAAACAGAAGAAACAAAGTGGGGGAAGGATGGTCTTGTCGGAGCCTTTTAAAGAGAAGGCTGAGTGTGCACAAAGCCAACACAAGGAGCAGGGAGGAGAGAGGATAGGCAGAGGTTTGATCAAAATCCATTACCTGTTTTGGGGGTTATATAGTAAATTGATCAATGGAGGGGAGGCAGGAAATTCTCATCACTTCACTGAATTCATCCATGAATTGGATCACTCACCAAGACTTCTATGGACGGAGCCTGGACAGAGATGTAGATCGGCTTCAGGTCAGTTTTCTTAATGCTCTTGACGCCCTGCAAGTCGATATCCAGGACGCAGATCTGGTTCCGTGCCTGCACGGCCTGCACTGCAGCTTTACTGGGGGGAAGGGAGAGAAGAAGTTAGTTACTGGACACCGGGATGGGGCTGCCATGCAGGGAGACCCAGGGAACCTTAGTTATCTATTCCTCGTGCATTAAGAACCGTTCACAATCTATGCCTCACCACCGACATTCTCTTTTGCATTGATATTTCCCAGTCCCCGTCCCTAGAGGTGTCTTCCACATGGTCACAAGAGGGAGGTGAGTGAACTAGAAGTGGAAATTTCAGAAATGGAGGCAGTGTAGCCTAGTGGATAGGGCATAATACGGGGGACTCAGGAGACCCAGGTCCAATTCCTAGCTTACCCTGCTTGGGCAAGTCACTTCTACTCTCTTTGCCTCAGCTTCCCCAGCTGTAAAATGGGGATAATGATGCTGACCGCCTTTGGAAAGAGTTTTGAGATCTACAGATAGACGTGCTATATAACAGCCAGGCATTATTATTTGTACATATCTTGTTAATAGTTGCCTCTATCTCCTCATGGGAAACTGCAGCAGTTCTAGTCTGCTAAGGGACTTGACCACAGCTCCTTGGATTCAATAGGAGGGGGTGGCTAGCAGGACTGTCTCAGTGACTGGTCCCCATCTCTAGATTTCCTCCACCCCCTTTTCCAAGACGGCCCACATACATTGGCCTACTGGGCAAGCTGAAAGGCCTAGCTATTCTCCCAGGCTTGCCCTGAAGTGGGGCGGGGGAATAAATTGTTCACAAGGGGCTGGCAAAGAGGGAGGAGTTTTATGGTGGGTACTGGAGAATTAGATTTTGTGGGCTGAGACCACAGAATCTGACATGTTCTTATAAAACCATATAGGTGCCTAGAGCTTCATACAAGTGCATATTGTTACATCAAGATAAATTAAGTGTATGGAAATGGCTAACGAGATGGCATTGCATTCCACTGAGATAAACAAAGAGCATCTTAGTTACAGGCTAGCAATGACATCATTTCTTTGGAGAGGCACAAACACCAGAGCCCCTACAAATCCCCAAGGACTACAAGGGTGACAACATCAGAAGTAAGGTAGAACACAATCCAATGGCTCAAAGTTGAAACTATACAAATTCAGACAGTAAATAAAGCATAGATTTTTAACAGTGAAAGTAATTAACCGGCAGAACCATTTACCAAGGGTTGTTATGGATTATTCATCACTGACAATTTTTAAATCATGACAATGCTTTTTCTAATAGATTTGCTATAGGAATTCTTTTGGGGGGAAGTTCTGGCCTGTGTTATACAGGCTGTCAGACTAGATGAACACAGTGGCCTTCTTCTGGCCCGGGAATCTATGAATCACAGATGTTTGGACTAAGGAGGAAAAGCCACTGAACAAGGTTACTTCTCTATAAGAGGTCACAAGTTTCCATACTAATAAATTCGCTTGAAGAGTGCCGTATCCTTCATAGCATTTGCCAAGATACCAAGTTAAGAAGAGGAGTATTAAAATATTTTTCCTTTGGACTGTCAAAGATGAGCATATGCTTTCCCCACTGTGGGCTGCATCTGATATGCCTTGACCTTCCCTCCAAATGCTATGATCCTCTTAGAACAAACTAACATCTAAAGAGCAGTGACTCCAATTATCTGAATACTGTAATAAATGGTGTTAGCTCCTTGGGGCAGAGACCATCTTCTTCTTCTGGGGTTGTACAGCACCTAGCACAATGGGGTTCTGGTCCGTGGCTGGGGCTCATGTACTACAAATGATAAAGAGTAAGAGGAGAAAACCTGAGAAAATGTTTTGAGGTGGCTATGGAGGGTTAAATTAGTTAAATTGAGTGGCCACATGGTGGCAACAGAGGATAAGAGAAAGAGCAGTTCTTTAGAGAAGGCTTTCATACTCTCAGGCAGAGGTTAAGCTGTAGTTCCTCTTGTGAAACTTCGCCCCCACCCAACCCTGATCCCAGGCCCTCCCCACAGGTGCTCATAGAATCCTAGAAAGGTAGGGCTGGAAGGGACCTGAAGAGATCCGCTAGTCCAGCCCGCTATCCGATTACAAGCGGAGTGTAGACGGTCATATACTCTGCTAGTATGATAGCAGTTGCTATAGTGTGTGTGAGCAAGCATTCCTTTTGTCAGTATCTGTCTGTACAGCATGCCCTTTTTATGTAAAGGTGACCCATCCTAACAAAATGGGTGCTAAAATGCAGCCTATATTCTCCTGAATTGTTATAGTAAGAATAATTCTCCCAGTTCTAATCAGTAACACGCTTACTGCCTATGAACTTCATGACTTAAATGGAACCTGACCAAAAAAACAGCTGACCTTTCAGTGGACGGGCTAATGTTCTGTTCATATTTTGATTCTCAGTTACATGGCAAAACTGTCAGGACAGCACTACAGAGACAAGATGAGACTAAACAACCTTTAGGGGATGGGTGCGGCTGTTTGGTTTTGTCCCCGCATTGTCTATGTGCTGTTCACTTCCTCTCCCTGGGGGTACGGTTTGGATGCGAATGATCATACTGCTACCATGGATTGCCTGCCCATCCGTCCACTCCTCCTACCACTGTGTCTTTGCCGCCTTCCCTGCTGCCTCTTACACATGGGACATCTCCCTGAATGGATCTGCTCAGTCCCTACCACCTCCTCCTCTCCCAAACCCTCCTCCAAGACCCTCTTCTGCCACAACACCTGAAGGATAGCATCCAATTAGGACAGTGAAGCCATGGCTGCACGCACCAGGGTTGAGGAGATGAGCTCACTCCAGACAGGTGTGGGGCGTGATTCCTAGGGAATCCTGTTTCCTGAGCTGTGGTGTCCCCCTAGGCCAAGGAAATCATGGTGGAAGCAAGGCCTCCCTAGAAGAGCTCTGTTACCAGAGCCTCAGTTCCCTACCTGCAAAACAGGGATAATCGCCTTTCCCTTCCTCCCAGGGGTGCAGTGAGGATAAATACATTAACGATGGTGAGGTTCTCAGATGCTACGGTGATGGGGGCCATACAAATACCTAGGATAGATGGAAAAGGGGGCCACTTTCCTCTTCCCAGAATTGTTTTAACAAGATGGAGCAGAAATCTGGAGTTAGGAACGGATTTAACAAGACCCCTCCTGCTGCAGCAGGTAACACGAGTCCCGGCTTTCGAAGTTATTCTTGGGATTTCCACATTAATCCTGTCCTAAAGCCTTTAAACCCACCTTATTGTCATCGCTGCAAACACTATACAAACACGGAGATCTACGAGCTTGCCTTGCACATCCATCTCACTGACTGGGCTGGATTGCAGTTCTCTTTTCTTCCCCCCACAAACTGCAGAAGTTGTTAGCGACTAGAGCTATGGCTTCGACTGTTTTCTGTCACAAATCCACAAAAATTGCTCTAACACTAAGTGTGGAAAGACTCCCCGCCCATCCTCAGATTTAAGCACGAGATGCCCAAGGTGCTGTCTCTTCCGCTCCTAGTGATTTCTCAGCACCTCACATTACTGGACCCTACAGTGGCATGCACACACTCAGCAAAGATCTTGGTCAAGGTTCTCCAGAGGAACTACTGAGTTTGCCTGCCTAACTTGAGGCATCTAACAGGGACCTGATTCTCAGAGAGTAGATGCTCAGTACTTTCTGGAACACAGGCTCCTTTAAGTGGTCTCCAATTAAGCATCCAGAACCATCAGTCTGAAAAAATCTTAGCCCTTGTGATCAGAGAAGCGGTGTTCGTGGGCGAGTTTGTTTTTCAAAATGACTGACACCTCCTGGGGTAAGTTAATTTCTCTTTGGTTCAGGTTCTTATATCTTTCCCATCACCAAAACGTCTTGGAAAAAGCATGCTAGCTTTCAGTCACGAAAGGATTAGATCTCTTGGATATGGCCTTAAATCCTCTATTTTCTTCTACCACACTTTCAGTAAGCCTTGGTTTTTTTTTCCTAATTTCCTCGGTTAACATTTCTCCTCCCTGCCTGCATGGCGTGAGCACTAGCTGGCTGCAGCTCAAAGGAGGCTGCGTTTCAGGATTGCTTTTATCGCTTTGAGATGAAAGGTGTTCTTGAAAAGGACAATATTGTATGAAGAATGGCATCACCATGTTTCAGGGCATAAGCTAGTGGGGCAGGGGCAGGAAGAAACTTGTATCCACAGCACAGCATTAGCTGTTGCTGGAGACAGACTAATGCTTCACCTAGTCTGGTGATGTATAGTCACCTATTTCAGTACTGGGCAATCCTTGCATTCATAAGATGGCCACAGATGTGCAGTAGAAATGAACCTACAAATATCTGGTAGAGCAAAGCAGCTGTCTTTGGATTTAAAATAGCTGCTCCTAAATGTATACAGATGGGCAAAGCAGAGCGCATAAAGGGTGGCAATATCTAGGGAGAAAAGATGAAGGGGAAAATTCAAACTCTGCATAAGCAGCAACAGCGTTGCACTCGCTTACGCCAGGCTTGAATTTGGCCCTAGGTTCGCACTGAAACCTGAGCTATTTCAGAATCACAGACTATCAGGGATGGAAGGGACCTCAGGAGGCCATCTAGTCCAACCCCCTGCCCAAAGCAGGACCAATCCCCAACTAAATCATCCCAGCCAGGGCTTTGTCAAGCCTGACCTTAATAACCTCTAAGGAAGGAGATTCCACCACCTCCCTAGGTAACCCATTCCAGTGCTTCACCACCCTCTCCGTGAAACTTCACTGACAACTGTGGGTGCTCAATACCGCTTAGGATCTGGCCCTAACTAGTCTGATGGATCACGTCTGGAGAATTTCTGGGGGAATGGAGAAAACAAACCTTAGTCTCTATGATGGGAAAACCTGAGGGGAAATGTGTTACTATTACAAAGCACCTTTGATTCTGAAATGTGCCTAAACAAACACCAGTATAGCGTACATACAGGACATACTTCCCCACTGCTAAGATGCAGTTGCCTCTGGAGTGCACCATGGCAGCTGTATAGCAGGGCACATTAATGTGATGTAACAGTTTAGGACAGGAAGGGAAGAATACTTAGTTTAATTCAGGGTTTCTTAACCTGTGGGTCAGGACCCAAAATTGTGTCGTCAGAATGTTTCAAAGGGTCGCGTGACAGCTCCTGTCCCATGGAGCTGGCTGGGCTCGCCTCCCTGATCCAGGTACTGCAACCTCTAGGGTCCCAGCGCCACTCAGGGTTAGCCCAGTTGTCATGACGACGGGAGTCCAGGTGGGCTAAATTTGAGTGAGTGGCACTGCAACCCCATGAGCCAGGTCACAACTCCATTCACACAAATTTGGTCCAGTCAAGGGGGGCAGGGCCAAACCTGAGTGACGCTGCAACCCCATAGGTTACAACGCCTGGAGCAGAGAGCCAAGCCCCGCCAGCCCCATAGCACAGGAGCTGCCACTGTGGGGTGAGTGATGGACAGCTCAGTGGTTTGAGCATTGGCCTGCTAAACCCAGGGTTATGAGTTCAATCCTTGAGGGGGCCACTTAGGGATCTGGGGCAAAATCAGTACTTGGGGGCTGGACTTGATGACCTTTCAGGGTCCCTTCCAGTTTTATGAGATAGGTATATCTCCATATATTATTATTGTCATTTGGGGCTGGTAAGCTCAGTTTGCTCCCTGAGAGGTATCCCAGAAGAGGGGCGGCCTGGATTAAATGGAAAATCCTGTTCAAAGGCAAACTCCCCTTAGCAGATTGAATCCATGGATTCAAGAGGCTTGAAATTGATTTCTCCTTCAAGGTGAGTTGGAAGGTTTCTAACGGCTGAGATCGAAGGCCAAGATTACGTGTTCCTCCTGAGCAAGCCAGTGACATCAGAAATGCTAGAGTAAAACAGGAAGCTGCCTTCCTTATGTTGCCTTAGGGAAATCATGTCGAATCTTTCAAGAGACACAAACTAGAAGTGAAGTGAAGGCAGATACTGTAAAGTGAGAAAATTATTTTCATTTGTTTTAAAAATGTATTGATCTGTAATTTTAGATTTGGATAATGCACTCAGAAGTTAAAGATTAATTTTTTTTTAAAGTGATGTGTGATTTTGGTTGCCCCAATTTTGGAGACACTGTAAAGGGGCCTGATTTTCAGAACATGCTGAGCACCCGAGCTCTAAAAGGCAGGTCTCCTTAAACTGTCAAGTTTGGTCCCCAAAAAATCACACGTGGTTTTGGAAATTTAGACTTTTTTTGCATGTATTTTTAAAGCATTTCCGTTCACCCTTAAGAGGTAGTCGCAATTTTAAAATCAACTCATTCTATGACTGATTTGGTATCTTAGAAAACAATTGCACTTATTTTACTTTTGCCATTCGGATCCAACCTGGGCTGTAATAATTGTCAGAGATGTTGTGTTAAGTAAGATAGGACTTTTAATTTATATTGCAGCTTACTTAGTGTTTCATTGATGATCACTTTTATGCCAGCAGCAATGCTATTTTAAAATCCACTTTACACTTTAATCCTAATTGCAGGTGCTAACACCAGAGAGTATTTATTAATTTGTAAGCGTTACTATACAGATTGAGGCGTGTGTCACTTCCTTTCACCACTGATCTGATCACACTCAGGCCTTTGGGGGATAACACAAGGAGTGAGTGCAGAATCTTAGTCCCATTTTAATTAATCTTTGTAGAGCACTTTGAAGATGAAGAGCACTATAAACATTCCGTACGAGTGAAATTCACCTCTGTGAAGGGCCAGCGTGAGCACTATGAACTATCTCGCACTCAAATCTTGGGGCTTAAGCAAAATTTGAGCGTTGCACACGCCTGATACTGACCTTTTGCACACGGGTGAATGTCACCAATTACTAGTGACAGAATAAAATTAATAGCAGACATGCTGCCAGAGTGAAAAGCTTAGACTAGGGAGAGAATAGTGTCATGGCAAGTTAAAATATTTCCCCATCCTCTTAGGGCAGAACACAAGTAGCCAGTAAATGGCAATCCATAGTCCACATGAGCTATTGGATACAGTGTAATAGTTACATACCTTGTTCCATATATGTTTCCAGAGAACTCCGCATGCTCAATGAATTCGCCAGCATCAATTTCTTTCTGCATTTGATCTCTGGTCACAAAGTGGTACTCTGGATCCAGCAATATTGAAAAACAAATCTATATCAATGTGCAGCTTCCATCTGACTTAGAACAAGATAAAAGCTCAGGGCCACGTGTACACATTTGGAGACTTAAAATGTAATGAAGCACCTAAATGCCTATGTTAGGCAACTAAATGCTTATTTAGGTGCCTAGCTTTCAGGCACTGAAATTAAAAAATTTGGCCCTTGGTTAACACATACAGAAACACAATGGATCCCCGCACCTCGCTCATGGTATTTAGTTATCTCCGATGCATCTTTAATAATTGGCCGGATATACTGTTGCTGCTGTTTATGTTGCCTCTTCTACTCTCCAGATCTCCAGTGACCTCTCTCATTACAGTGCCATGCTTACAACACGCTACAGTAGTAGATGAGAAGTCATTTCAGCCTAAGTGTCTCTATTTTTAGAGGCTTATTGTGCCCCCGTCCCCGAAACAAAACCCACTTTGGCTGAAATTTCTTCTTCTCAGTTGAAAGGTAAACTTTCCTTTGGGAAAGTAGGTAAAAATCTCATGTGGACCTTTTTGAGCTATTCAGGCATAAAGACACCAGTAAGACATTTCAGGTGCTTTTCGGTGCCGGGTTGACTCTAATGTCCCTGCATTTTAAACCTCAGTTGCTCTGGCAACTGAATTAAATTACACTGTTCCCTCCCAGTCAGTAGTAAAACAATGACCCCAGAATGCTTTTTGGGAGGGGCCAGGGTTCTATTCTGTGCTACTGGAGGCAAGGTCTCTTGGAATAGGGATGAAATCCAGAGCCTTACTTTAGTAGTTGGCCTTTAAGATCTAGATTTTCAAAACTGGGTGTCTAGAGTTTCGCTCTTAAATCCACCTGTAGGTACCTAAATTAAATGGCCTGATTTTCAAAACTTTTGAGCACCCAGTAAGTCTCATTGAAGTTAATCAGAGCTGCCGAGTACTCAGCACATTCTGTCCTAAACTGTTGTGTAAGATTGCTGTGTGCTATTACGCAGCTGCTACCTCCTACAACAGAGGCAGCTGCATTTCATTTGAAGGTGAAGTGATCCCTGTGTCTAGTCTGTATCTTCAGTTTATAAAACAGGGCTTTGGAGCTGTGCTCCAGCTCCGCTCCAGCTCCAGGCAAAAACCTGCAGCTCTACTGCTCCGGAGCTGCTCTGCGCTCCAGGTCTGGGCTCCGCTCCGAAGCCCTGCGTTGGGATCGTTCAGAATGAAAGGTCCTATGTAAGTGTAAAATACGGTTATTGGACACGTACTAAAGTAAATACACTCCATAAACTCTAAGTAAATAAAGTATGACTTCCCCGCAATTGCACTTTCACGGAACATGCCCATAAACAACAAAACTTGCTCAACATGTACTTATCCATTGGTTACAGGCCCTATTTGCTCTTCATTGTCTACCAGCAGAACTAGCTACTCCTCTCAGGTTCTGCAAGCTTTTACATAGCAGGAAACGCCGTCCAGAATTCTCAGAGCCGTAGCCCTGCCTAATCTGACAATACAACAAAGGGCAATACACTGACCTTTGCCATTCACTTCTCCGACTCTTGGTTGCCTTGTGGTATCTGGAAGCAAACACAGTCTCTGTAATTTTGTAGTTCACACAAGAATATAATAATGTAAAAGCAATACAAAGCCACTTACTCAGCAGCATACAGCAATTCGATCACTGGGTAATTTGATTCTCTGTTTAATTTGATCAAAGCTTCTGGACCCAATTTGCACCTTTTGTTTCTAGGTGCCTTAAGTGGGTATTATTAGATGATTCAGTCATTGCTTATGGGAGGGAAGGATGGCCCAGTGGTTAGGGACTTGGGAGACGCAGATACAATTCCTTGTTCCAGCACAGACTTCCTGTGTGACACTGGGCAAATCACTTAGGGCTTGTCTATACGGGTAAAAAGCCTGTGTTAGCTACTCTGCTCTGCCTTCCCATGTAGACATTCTTACTGTGCACTAAGAATGCCTTTGTGCTCATTAGTTTAATAAACTTCGGCAGTGCATTAAGGTAAACTGACTGAGGGAGTCAGTGTGGGGTAGTTACTGTGCTTTAAATTCACACCCTAGTTTACTGTGCATTAATCTCCTTGTCAAGTATCAGAAGGGTAGCCGTGTTAGTCTGAATCTGTAAAAAGCAACAGAGGGTCCCGTGGCACCTTTAAGACTAACAGAAGTATTGGGAGCATAAGCTTTCATGGGTAAGAACCTCACTTGCATCTGAAGAAGTGAAGTTCTTACCCATGAAAGCTTATGCTCCCAATACTTCTGTTAGTCTTAAAGGTGCCACGGGACCCTCTGTTGCTTTTTAATCTCCTTGTGTAGACAAGCCCTTAGGGTATTGTAGTGAGGTGGTGTGGTTCCCCACTGCCCTGGAGAGGGACAAGCCCCTCTCAACACCAGAGTGGGCGGAGCCAGCAAGTTCTGCACCCGCCCCCCAGAGGTCAAGGGGCAGGACAGGAAGTATAAAAGCCCGACTCCAGAGCTCACTCGGGAGGTGGCCTAGCTCCTGGTTGGGAAACCCCGGCGACTTACAGCGGACCCGAGGACTGGCCTGACCTGCTGACGCCCGATGCCGACCAGAGCCCAGAGGAGCTGCCCGGCCCGCCCCTCGCCAGTTACCTAGAGGAGCTCATGGTGCTTGACCCCCCCCCGGAGGACACCGTCTGGACCCAGGTACCTCTAGAGGGGGAGTTCGGAAGTAGCTTGGAGGCAGCCGACCCTAGTCTGGCTGCAGCACTGCCAGAGCCCATGTCAGTGTGTGGTGGCCAGGATCCCCACTGACTCAGCAGCAGGCCGTCTGCTGCTGCTAGGGCCCTGGGCTGGGACGCAGAGGAGTGGGAGGGCCTGCGTCCCCCCTGCCACCCAGCTTGTGGCTGGCAGTCTCCCCCTCTCCCAGGCCCCTCTGAGCCAAGAGCCTGGGCTGGTTGTTTGCCTGCCCTTGCTCAGCTCCTACCTGAGGGCCTGAGCCTTTGACTCGCTATTGCCTGCTGACCATGGGCCGGGCGCGAATGACTGTCCGTGTTTGCCTCTGTTGCTGCCACGGCGAGTGACTTCCGTGGCCAGGCTAATTCCCCGTCAGCAACTGGTAGGAAGTAGCGAGGCAGTGTGGTTCCCCGCCGCCCCGGAGAGGGACAAGCCCCGGCCAAACCCCTCTACGGGTATGTACATACTACAAGTGCTCTATAGCTATGCCACTGTAATGCCTGTAGACATTTACGACAGCAATGGAAGGGGGTTTTCCATCACTGTAGTAAATCCACCCCCTTGAGAGGCAGTAGCTAGGTCGATGGAAGGAATCTTCCATCGACCTAGCTGTGTCTAGAGTGAGGATTAGGTTGACCTAACTAAATTGCACAGCTTGTGAAATTTTTCACAGCCCTGAGCGATGTAGCTAGGTTAACCTACATCTTCCTGTGCCCCTAGTTCCCCCTCTGTAAAACAGGGATAATTCTACTTCCCTACCCCACAGTATTGGATAAATCCATTTCAAAAGACTGTGAGGTGCTCCTATAGATAGATTTAATGAATAAGGTCAGAGTTCTGAATGAGGTAGGAGACCAAGTTAGAATCCATACGGAGACCACTATAAGTTGTGTTATTTTGAAGCACTACCATGCAGGGACACTGGAACAATTTGTATAGTGGGGTACTGAGAGCCATTGAACCAAACTGTAAACTCGGTTTATAATGGAAACCACTTCATGCCATGGGGTGCAGCAGCACCCCTAATTCCAGCACCTATGCTAGCATGTGCTCTGGAGACTGTGATACACCCTTTGGCAGTCAGCATGGAACACAACATGAATGACTTATTTCAAACTGGTTGGAATGGACTAGATCAAAAGGAGGATGTAGTCTCATCTAAAAGCACTGATCAGCTGGGTGTAAGTGCTGTGCACGGATTTAAAAAAAACAAACACACACAGAGGCAGCCTAGGGAATAGACAAAGTCTATTTCTGTGCTGAACTGCATCTGAAGTGGGTTTTTTACCCACAAAAGCTTATGCCCAAATAAATCTGTTGTCTTTAAGGTGCCAATGGACTCCTTGTGGTTTTTGTGGATACAGACTAACACGGCTACCCCTCTGATCTCTGAATGTTGTGACTTTCAGAATAAGTTTAAAAGTGCTTGAGACTAAAAGACTTTAAAATGTCTCCCTTTGATACATGTATAATGCTTCTTTGTATGTCTCTAGCAACCCAACAAAATCTCACATCACAAGT